AAAACATTCTTGAGAGGTATGTGTGGTTATCTGATAATTACCAAAGGGAAATATTGTTTAGTAAAGGTTGGAGTTGTATTTTGTGTTTCAATTATTATTTTTTGCTAACAAAAGAGAGCTCTTATGAAGCAGGAGCTGTGAAAGTAGCGTTACCCCTTGTAACTCTTCAGTGATACTTTAAAATTCTTACAATCACACAAAATTGCACACAAGGGGTGAAGTACAAGTATTAATCTCTGTTTAGAACATCAAACTTTGCTGCATACAATTAACATCCAGACCAAAAGTAGTTTACATATGTCAAATGATTTCAATGAGTTGATTGTATTGATGGTGAGATTTAAAAGCCTTGAATATCCAAGTCACTGGGTTTTAGAGATAAATGGGCATTAGTAAACTTGCAATTGTGAGTTTCAGGCTTAAAAGTATGCATCCCCCTCAGTGGTGTCATTAAAATTTGGTATAAATGGTTAGTTTAGAATTGCAGCCTGGTTTTTATGATGGCTGTGAGGGACATGGATGGCACAAGGCCATTGGTGTCCTACAGGGTATATCCATGGATGATATGCAGAAACAAGTATTGTTTCTCAATTTTGTTTTGGCAGTGGTCTATGGGTTCATTTTTCTGTGACATGGACACACCTGCTGCAAAGACAAATATGGACTGTACATGCTGGCTTCTGAGAGACACTCAATTGCTCCTTCTGATTTTTGGTTCAGAAAAGGTTTAGACTGCCTGGCTATTTTTGTCATATGATTTAATGGGTTTTAAATATAGATTGACTTTGCATCAACTTTTTAGATAAATAAAGCAGTGCAATAATGACACTCAATTATGGACAGTCATGTAGTTTCAGCCATTATAAGACTAATACTAAATTTGGTAATGCCACAGAAAGCTGGATCAGCATTGCAGACTGCCACAAAAATTGTTCAAATGTTGTATACTACTAGATGAAGTTGGAAGACAACTCTTATATGTGGAGAGCACTGAAGTCATCCTAAAGCTGGGTTATTTAAAACAAGATAGATGAATAAAGGGGGTAATTTCCTAAAGAAACTGTGGTGCTGTGCTGTTGGGAGAGTATAATAGGGTCGTTTAGCATTATCACCTGAGTTGATAATTTAAATTGGCCACAGTAAAGAGGATAAAGCTGACGTTTCAAGCATTAGCCCTTGGTCAGAACGAATGAGGAATCTTTTGCTAGGAAACTTTTTACCTTGGCCAATTTTTGTCATCAACTCAGTGGATAATACTGTTAAAACCAAATGACCTGATCACAGGCTAATTAAAGAAATGCATTGAAGGTTCTAATAATCTATTTTCCCTTTCTAAGTCAGAGAATTTTGGTGAGATTTGTAGTTTATCGATGTAAAATAATATTTTTTAAAAAAATATTTACATTACAACATTTATAGATAAAATAGGAATGATCTTTCAGATTTCCAGTTTATTAAATGAATAACATTGTTTTAAGCATTTACATAGCAACATTTGTAGAAAAAATAGAAATGATCTCTAAGATTTGTAGTTTATTGAATGAATATAACATTTTTAAGCATTTGCATTATAACATTCATAGATTAAATAGGAATGATCTCATGAGTTTTAGGTAAATATTGTCAAAGATGAAAATTTTATAAAAAGATGTAGTTTCCATGTAATTGATGTGGTAAAGTTAAACTTTCTGAAGCATATAGAGAATAGATATTGTATAAATCAGCTTTTTAGTGATTAGATTATAGCTATGAGTTTTGTTTAAATGGGAACAATTGTCTCTAAGACCTTAAGGACATTCTTACTTCTCAAGTGTGCAATGAAAAAATATTTGCCCAGATTGTACTGTCATAGAATATGATAAGATGGAAGAGATTCTTGTCGAGTGTAAGGTAAAATAGGAAAAATCTTGTAAGTTTAGGGAAAATATTGGCAAAGATGTAGCTTTTTTAGGTGATTCTGAAGAAAAAAGGTAGTTTCCATGTAATTGATGTAAGGGAATTGAAATTTTTGAAGAGTACTTAGAGTGAGTTTTTTAAGGGAGAAAAGAGACATATATTGTACAATTATTTTATCCCTTGAGACATCTTTTTATGATGAGAAATAATTGGTCTGCTGAGCCAAAAATTTATTAAGATTCAAAAATTTTATTACATGGTCTACCTTGGTAATTGCTATTCATCACTTGTTGATATAATGATAATACTTGTGATTTGTCCAGCTCCAACTTTTTGCAGGTGGCTCCTAGTTCAGAGTAAGAAAAGCCTCAATTTTTAAGTTATTATGAATTTGCTCCAGTACATTAACTGTTACTGACAACCTTGCAAATTTGTGCACATTTGAAATTAGAACTGCTTAACCTGAACATGTGAAACTGCAGGATAATCTCTCTCAAGAAATGTTTCAACTGGAAGTGCTGAATAGGAATCAAGTCTTTTCTTTCACAATGTATTCACTGTGGATGAGAGTGCATATTGCCAGTATGTACATGGCATCAGAAGTGACTACAAAGTGAGACATAATGGACAAAACTTCATTCTTAGTCTATTATTTGTAATGTCTGCTTGACAATGTATTAAAAATTGTGAAGTAAGTCTGTAGACTGGTTGTTGAAGAGTTGAGCTGGACAAAGATATTACTTCCAGGAGTTTTAATAAGTCTGTTCCACATTCTTGAAGTATGATTGTGATTCACACTTAGTTTCTTTGAAACTACCCACACCAACAATGTCTAAGTTGAGAGACTTAAAAACAGAGAATTCAGGAAGTAATAAGTTTCAAACCTTTTACTCCCAGGATAGATTAATATTTAGCTTCTCCTTACCAGAGCTGGGGGAGTGGCTAGATTGCAAAACTTGTGATGGACTGAATATTCACTCCAAATGCGGGCATAATGCTATCCATTCCTGGTAAATATTGATAATGATAGACCAAATCTAAAATGTCACTAGGGTAGGGTACTGTTCCAAAGTATTCATCGTGTCTTTCCTTGTCAGAAAAGCTCCAAAATGCCACTTAGACCACGCTATTCAAAGCTTTTATCGAATTTTGTACTCCCATGGGACCTATTTCAGGGCTTTCAAAAACAAACGTGTTGTGCTTATTTCCAAACGAAACCACCATCTACCCTCGATCCCTAGGCTATCATCTCCGTTCCAGGATCACTGGGTCAGCGGTAATCTTTATTTGTTTAAATATGGCGGCCATCAACACCGGCGACTTTCCAATTCACGGGCTTTTACCCGAGCGAGAAACGGGAGCAGATAGATTTTGGCTAAATATCCCTAGTATGATGGCCGTGGAATTGTAATCGCTGTGTTTGATACAGGAGTTGATCCGGGAGCTCCCGGTTTACAGGTATGTGTTACTTCCGGCAATTGTCCGTATTTAATAACTCAATGGAAGTGTGAAGGGAAATTAAATCCATTTGCACTTGTTTCGGTTTCAAGTCATTATCAGTAAAACGGAGTTTGTCAGACCTGCGGAAAGTTTTAGTTTGAGGCAAGAGTCCGTTTTGTGGAACCATTGACGTAACTCACCATTTTTCCGCATTTTAACCAACAAGTTGTCCAAGGATAAGATTTACATCGATAAGTCCACTTTTTTTTTTTTTTAAACAATTTTATTTACAAGACGATCACTTACACTACTTACAGTATTAACTACACTTACATTGTACTTGCTACTTACACCACTGATACTTATACTTACACTAATTATGCATACACTACATTACGATACATGTATTACAATACTATTAACATTAATTTAATTTACGGTTGGCGTGTTTACAAAGTTCTTTTCAATTAAAAGACAATCACAAGTAAACATACAGGTCTCAAAAATGCTACATTTCTTTGGATATTTACTTTTGATATAGCTTAAACAAATGTTTATGAAATTAAGTACAAGTCTAACCTAAAACAACAGCAGCATGAAAAATTAAAGTAAAAAAGCCCACGTGCGGTCGCGATCTCTTTTAGGATTTCAAGTTTTCCCGTGATGAACAGTAGGAAGATTTGAAAATCTAAGATGTCTTCGCAAAGGCTTGTGCAGTCGATAAGTCCACTTGTCTAGCAACTCTACGCCACTTTGTGGATAGGGAGACATGTCAAGAGAAAACTCTGATGTGATGACATAAAGATTTTAAGGCAAATTGGCGAAACAACAAAATGAGATAACTTAGTGAAACAATGTTAGGTTTCTCTGTACTCCTATTTAAAAGTTTGAGGATAGTTTCTATTAATATTAACTTTTACCTGCTCTTACTATTTTCCTGCAACAGGCAACCCACAGTTGCAACCCTCTATAGTTTGAGACTTGGAATTTTTTTGTTAACTTAAAAATGGGAGAGGCAATTGAACAGACCAAATTAAGTACTTTGTTTAAGAATTCTGTGGTGACAAAAGATGGCATTTGGCGACATAGGGAGTAGTTTCTGGCAACAATGCTGAAAACTGTTTCTAGTTTTTTTGTGACTTGCTGAAGGAAATTGTTATTATTGTTGTGTTCCATATGAAGCTAAGGATTATGTATGGAAAATAATTTGAAGAGTCAATCATTTTCTGACTTCTCAGTGACCTGGACTGAATTGTTTAAAATTTACTGTGAGGTGTTTCAAAGGGAAGTTAAAACTTTATCCAAAGGATAAATCACCATCCAGGGGATAAGTGTTAACCAAATATTCTGTGCTATATATCATCTATGGCCCTGTTGTTCAAATAGCAGATAATGCCATCCAATGGACAAATAGCTATCCTGTGGATAATTGTTCAGATAACATACTAAGTTATCCAATGGAAAAAGAAAAAAAGCTCAAGCATGGTAAACTTTGACATCTTATTTTTAGTTGCTTCTTTTTTTTATTTTTTTTTTTTTATAAGGAAACCCCTGATGGACAACAAAAAATAATTTATTTAATTGATGCCAGTGGAAGTGGTGACGTTGATGCCTCCACAGTTGCTGAGGCTGTTAATGGCTGTGTGACAGGACTAACAGGAAGGAAACTGATGGTTTGTTTCTAATGTGCTCGCTTATCCTTATCCTCTTTTTCTGACTAATACATTTTTTAGCTGAAAGTGTTATTGTATAATTATCAAGACTTTAAAACCCTCTGAACGGAACAGTGTTATGGGCCTGATTGGTCACAGTGACCTTCAATAAACTTCCCTTGATGCTAGTCTATTGCAGGGTTATCCCCCTATCTGTCTACCATTTTGGCAGATTTCCAGGGCAGTAGGTTGGCACCCATTCATACTCTGGGGTGAAGAGGGGCATTATGAGTGGAGAGTGTATTACCTAAGAACTAAGTTAAGTGATGGACTATGGCTTGAAAACAGATCTTTCGATCTGGAGTATAGTACACAAACTACTAAGGTTACCATTTCTTCTGTAAGCATGTGAATAGCTCCTTTAAACTGTTTTATGTGCTTGGGCAGTATTGGAGGTCAGGTGTCTCAAAGCCTCAGTTATGAAACACAACACTTCATTGCTGTAAATAGTTTTGATTGTTAAAGATCTGATGTGAAACACAAGCAGTGACAATCAATAGTGATTAAAGCATTTGTTAATGTTGCCAGAGGAAGAGAAAGACTGACAAAAATATTGCATGATCAAGAAGGCTGAAAACCACAGAAACCCAAGCAGAGCCATTAACACATAGCAGAACATTTATCCCAACACTAAGACATGATCTTGGCCTTTTTCCCTCATGAGACAAGAGAAGTTGAATGAAATTTAACTTGCTGAGGTAAGAACATGAGAAGAAGTGAGATGAACAAAGAAGTTTGTTTACCGCATCCAAGGGTGTAAATCACCCCCAACAGGACTCGTTGTCGACAGCCAGCAACAATGACTGAAGCCCCTACAAATACCTGCTGCTTCATCTCAAAAGGATCATGTCTTGTCACTAGATGATTCTGAAAAGGTGGCCACTTTTAACCCTCTATATTATGACCTAGATCAAAAAGTCTTTGACAGAAGAGCACTTGAAAAATATGGAAAAAGATCATTAGCAAGTGTTGATTGCTGAATTATCGCAAGGATGGAAGTGGACTGCCCTCGTGGCTGATAAACTTGGAAAAGCAGCGAAGGTCAAAAATGTGTAGTATGTCTTATCTGTTAGTTGTCTGGTGACCTTGAAATTTTACATTCATAAATGGCTTCTTGTCAAAACATATCTGCTCTCAGCTTCTGGGTGTTTTAGACCATTAATAAAGGTGTTAAGCTGTAGTCTTGACAGATGGTTTTCTCGTGGTCAACTGCTGGAAATGAACATGCCTTGTCTCCCAGAAAATTCATCAACTTAATAATGCCTTTGTAATGAGAATCGTGCCCCAGGAAGTAAGCAGGGGGTAACTTAATGTCGTGTCAGTCCTCTCAAACTGTAAAGCTCTTGGATTTTACAGATTTCAGTGAAGCTTTCTCTTACAGGTAGAGAGCACTGTTAATCCAAAGTGTAAGAGTGCAGAACTTTCATGATCTTCTCAGTGTTAATATGCTGTTGCACGAAAAAAAAAAAAAAAAAAAAAAAAAAAAGAGAAAAATTTCTAGGTGCCTAGCAACCATTGCGGTTATTTATTACCTGGGTGGGGGAGAAGGATCGGAGAACTGTGGTTGTGTCACAATAAAATTTGCCTGATTTCCCCCCCCCCCCTGATGAAAAGAGCCCATTTAAGTGAGTTGTTCATTTCGAGGTTTTCAACGTACATAAAAAATTGAAATTGAAAACCTCGAAATGAACAACTCACTTAAATGGGCTCTTTTCATCAAAGTAAGCGGTCAGATAACAAGTGATACACTGTGGAAGTAAGGTGAAGTATTTTTATTGAGAATTTGACGTATTTTTTTATTCCTTAGAGCGGTCGTAAATATTCCCATACAAACTCTTATAATTCCGCCATGACTGCTATTGCACAAGATGATCATCTCACAGCTGGAGCTTGGGCCGCCTGTGGTCCATTCCCTCCCTCTGCATAGCCTCTGGAGTTTCGGAGTTTCGCGACTATCACAGTCCAACTCTCTTATCGGGCTCTCTACTTCTGTTGAGTACCTGGTGGGGTAATGAATTGTACTTTGTGTCTTCCCTATCCAGTGACCAGTTGTTCAGTCTACAGGTACTCAATAGCTTTAATCCGCCGATCCTAACACCATTAACCGTCATTTCAGTGGCTTTCCTCACAGTGAACAGATAATTATTTTGTGATATATCGTTGGAAGACTGGGACTGACACAGTTTCAGCCTCGTCTCCAGTGGACTGAAAAGCCTGGGAATGGTGTAAGATCGATGCGCATGCACTAGATTACATCGTTGCATCATCGCTCAAAGCGACTGACGCTCTCATCGGAAATTGCGATTTTTTTCCTTGGTGGGCGAACTTTTCGAAGCGGTGAGTAATACCTAATTAATCTTTTATTCCGCGAAAGATCGATTGAGTAGGAATCAAGTCTCGACTGAATAAAAGATCGACAGATTCGAACGGTGAATGAAACAAAAGTGATCCGATCGCGCGAGGCTATTCGCCGTTTTCGAGGATGGTTTCATTTCGCAAACAGCGACTCTATGTGGCGTTTAAACGGATATAAACAGTATTAAGTAGAATGCAAATAACGCCTAGTCGTCGAGAACTCCTTGAAGCTTGTGGAATTTTGATGAATGCCCGGGAAATGTAGGAGAGTGTCTATTATGCTCGAAAACTCTAAAGGGCGGTGGAACGGATTTTAAGTCGCACTTAACCAAACTAAACCAAGGGATGCGTTCGACCGAAATCGACCATGTTTAGATCGCTAGCTTTAGAGATCTGGCAGGAAATTCAACTTTCATGTAGTGTCAAAGACAAAGAATTCTTCGCAGCAGATCATTTCCTTAAATCAATGCCAACAGGGTGTCAACCCGATACAAGTGATTTTTGTTTTGTGCTCTTCGGCAAGGCACTTAACTTTCCTATTGCCTCTCTCTTCCCAGAGGTAGAAACGATTGCTAGAAAACTTTCCAAAAAACCTGAAAATCTTTGCGAGTAACCAGCGATGAACTGATATCCCAATAGTCCTACTTTTTTCATGATTTTGAAAACAGGGTAAAATCTCGCCGCATAGGTTACTTTGCTCGTTAGAGGCTTTGCCTTATTTTTACTTTAGATCAGTAGCACAGTTGTGATGTACAAAAGCGTAACATTGGGGTAAAATTGAAAAATTTATTTAAGAATCAATTCTTATTAGAATTAAGTCAGAAAGTGAAGGGAAATTGGTTCCTATCTTGAAATTATGTCATTTCGGTCGATTCGGACGCATTTCAAGCAAATTTTCTATTACCCATGATGCAATGCGGCCATGCCCCTTTTTTTTGTTTTTGTTTTTGTTTTTGTTTTTGTTTTTTTTTTGTAAAAAATGCATTAATACCGTGTTTCAAGGAATGTGGTTTTTTTCTCGCCACATCTGAGTCCTAGAAACTCTAGAATCCTTAATCTTTGCATTTAATTTCACGGCCTTGTGCTTGTGAACAAACAGCACTTGACTGCATGCTTGAAACATGCGGTATGTACTTAGGAAGTTTCCTGCTCATTTCCTCACCTGATGTAATATTTTACTTCTTAGTAAGGAAATCTAAAACAGTCCTTATTGATTAAGTAGACTTTGGGATGATTTGGAAGTAATGGAAGCCATCAAATCCTCCTCTCTCTGGAACGAAGCGAAATATAAAACATATTAGAACAAACTGAATCACTCCCTACGAATCGCGAAACGTTTATATTATGATAAGAGGCTAAGCGAGTCAAAATCCACTTGGCGTCTGCTTAATGAGGTCCTAAACAGCAACAAATTGAGACCTAAACCCAACTCTGTGTTTAAGGTTGATGATCAAGATATTTCTGACCCAATGGAGATTGCTAATCGATTTTGTCATAACTTCAGCAATATCGGACCGCTAAACGAATTCAATCTATGACCTTGTATAAGAATTTTCTTCCTGGTCATTTCCCTCAGTCAATGTTCCTAAATTAAGAAACTCAGGAGGAGATTATAAATATCGCATCTACGTTTCCAGCGGGAAAATCGGCTGGGTATGACAATATCCCTATGTCTATCATAAAGCGATCTATATGCAGCGTTTCCTGTCCATTAACACACATTGTAAATCTCTCCATTACTCATGGTATCGTTCCGGATGAATTGAAAATTGCTTGTGTCATACCTATTTTTAAATCAGGTGACAAAGCTCTCTTCAGCAACTACAGACCTATTTCTGTTCTACCGTGCTTTTCAAAGTTTTTGGAAGGAATAATTTACAACCGTATTATAAATTATCTCAATGACTCCGATGTCTTATGTGATAATCAATAAGGCTTTAGAAAAAATTTCTCTCCTAGCCTTGCACTTATCGATTTGTGTGACAAAATTTCTTCTGCATCTGATAGAAAAGAACATGCCATTGGAGTATTCCTAGATCTTTCGAAAGCGTTCGATACGGTAAATCATGACATTCTTTTTGACAAACTCAATCATTATGGGATCCGTGGTCTGGCACTAGAATGGGTCAAAAGTTATTTTTCTGAGAGGACACAATTTGTCGAATTTAATAACGTTAGATCTGCCCCACAGGGGATTCCCTGTGGGGTGCCTCAAGGTTCTATTCTTGGTCCCTTATTTTTTATCCTGTATGTTAATGATTTGAACAATGCTTCCCTACTTGATGCAATCTTGTTTGCTGATGATACAAACTTATTTATCTCCCATAATGATCCTGTTTACCTAATTAACACATTAAATAGAGAATTAAACAAATTGCCAACCTGGTTTGCAGCAAACCGGCTCTCCTTGAATTTAGCCAAGACTAATTTTATGGTATTCAAGCCTTGGCAAAAGAAGCAATCCTTTGAATTTCAAGTTTTCATAAATGAGCAGCCTATTCTTTGTGTTTCTGAGACCATGTTTTTGGGTGTTTTATTAGATGACAATTGGACCTGGAAATCGCACATATCCTTAACAGCAAATAAATTATCCAAATCTATAGGTATTATTCATAAATCTAGGGTTTTTTCTCTCTACTCACTCCCTTCGGACTTAATACAATTCTATGATCCTTCCATATTTGTATTATTGCAATTTAGCTTGGGCTGGTACCTATAAGTCAAACCTTCAAAGAATTGTAACCTTACAGAAACGTATGTTAAGAATAGTAAGCAATTCTACATACATTGCCCATACTGACCCTATTTTTAAGGAACTTAAACTCTTAAAATTTCATGATATCCATTCGTTTCAATTAGGTACTTTTATGTTTTCATTCGTGAACTCTACACTCCCTTCCAAATTCAATAACTTTTTTTTACTGAATAGTCAAATCCACAATTATAATACTAGGGATGCTCAGTCCTTCCGCTTGCTACTGTGCAGAACAAACACCAGGAAGTTTTCAATTTACTTTCAAGGTCCAAACTTTTATAATTCGCTAAATTCTGACATAACTAGTTCTCCCTCCTCTGCTTCTTTTAAAAGAAAGCTTAAGGAATTTCTTCTCTCTAGGTATTAACTTCTGTAAGGCAGTAATTCTTAACTAACTTACTTAATATGTGTGTGCGTGTGTGTGTGTGTACGTGTGCACGGTCAAAGTTAATTACCATAAGTCCATATTGTAATTCTAATATAAGATTAGTTATTTTTTCTAGTGAGAAAGCCTGACTTGTTATAAGCCTCGTGGTTTCTTTCAGGTTTTCTTGCCATTTATTCTCTGTCATTAATTTTCTTCATTTTTTTTTTTTTCCATCTGTAAATGTTGTATATGGCAAAATAAATATTGTATTGTATTGTATCAAAATGACAAACACGTCGCGCTTGTTTTTGCTATAAACTTGATCGCGTATGTTCCTGAGGATCAAAAAATTGTAGACCTTATGTTTCGGATGAACTTAAATGCTAATATTTTCGTCGGCTTTTAACGGATTCAATCGAGTTTGGTACCAAAATTTAGCCTGTCGTTTGAGCATTTTGTTTATGTCAAAGTTGACATGCTCCAGTGCACTTGTCGCAAACAATACGATTAGGAAATTCATTGACTGGTACTATCGTGCGGCAGATCACAGCACTCGCCAACTGTTTCGGACGCAGAAAAAAATTCATATCTCGACAATGTTTCAACAAAAACACCAAAAAACAAAAAGAAATTGAAAATCAACTTATGAGCATTGCATTTTGAGGTTAAATTGTTCGGTAACTCAGGAATTATGACTCCCAAAATGAATTTAAAATTATCTGTCTCTCCTAGGCTTTAAAGTGTGACACATCAAGTGGTGAACACTTTCGTTGATTTTAAGAAAGATTTAGCTCAAATTTTCAGGCTGCCACTTTGCTTAAAAAGGAACTATTTTCATTATCTGTTAAGTCTTATGGTTATAAACGAGGCTTCAGTGGGCAAAAACAGGAAAACAGTGAACAGTGAAGCAGATGCATGTTACGTGTGACGCCATGTTTCTGTCGCTAACTTTACAATTCGGCTCAATATTTTCAGAGATCCTTTATTCTACCTCTGTTTAGTCCAAAACCATCTTTAACACATTTGTAACAATTGTGGAAAGTCTCAAGCAGATCTGATCATTGTGCGCCGAGAAATTCTCAAAAGATTCAAGCAAATCTGTGATTTTTCAATTTGTACGTGACAAGCGTGCTACTGATCTTTACCTAACACATACCTTAACATACTAGTTAGAGCATAGGGTTCAACTCAAACCAACTGATCTGTAGTTTAAGCACGCTTGCTGTCAGGCCTTTGTTTTCACTGTCTTTTCATTAGTTATCTGTGGTTATATTTTACAGAAATTATCCAACAAAATGCAGGGTACACCCATGGTTAGAACTGCCTGCCTAGAGAACTTGGATGATAAAAGAGAGAGACCTTGGGCTGAAAAAGTAATTAGCTTTCTGGATAGTGAATATCCAGGGTGGAAAAACCCTCAAAAGACCTATATGGTTCCTTGTGAGTTCTCGCACAGAAAACGTATGCCAGGTCTTGGAAAGGAAGCAGAACAGAAGGTTTTTGACCTATTGCAAAGATTTGGAATTAGTCGTTCAGAACCAATGTTTGTGGTTCACTCCAAAATATTTGATGTGATTATTTCTGAAGAGAATAAGAAATCCAAGAAGATAGAAAAGACGTGGTCAAGGGGAGAGCATGATTTTGTTATTATTCATCGCCTACATGGAATAATGTTTTTCGAGGTAAACAGAAAGTATTATTAGAGGTAACAAATATAAATTATGTATTTGATTGCTTGTTAGATTAGCTTGTGAACAGAAAAATTGTCCGTCAAAGTAGCCCCTATTATTTTATAGTCATTATTGTGGCTACTGCTTCCTATAGGAGGCAAAGCCACATGTGTCGTTGAGATGAGTGAGTGAGTGAATTGGTGAGTGTGACAATAGGATTCCGATCTTGACCCAATTTTGAAACAATGTTTCCTGACCCTTCTTGTTTTTTTTGGAGTATCTAACTAGTTTGATGGTTGCACTTGTTACACAGTTGAGTTCTCTCCTTTTGTGATTTTTGGCTATTAGCCACCAGCACATTTAGTTTTCAGTGACACTGTGAAGACAGCAGAAGAGGATAAACATCTCACAATCATTTCAGGATTGCTTTCAATTAAAGAAAATTGCTTTCTTAGCACAAATATCTTAATAGGTGTAATCTGTGCATCTTGAAACTCCGAGCAAAACTTTTTTCTTTGAACTGAGCCTTTTTTACTGCTTAAACTAGCAAATTATGTTGATCTGAAGAAATAATCTTTTCGATTCTTGCCACGACACTACAAAAGATGATGAAAATCTTGAAGTAGTTTCACAGTGGTATCCACTGATGCATGATTTGCTAAAAACTTTTCGTCACAGAATTATCTCAATGCATGTGATCTGCACATCATGGAAGCTTTGAGGAAAATGTTTTTATTTGACAATTTGAGTCTGATTTATGCCAAGATGTGCTACTAAATTTGTGCAGCTAACAAGTTGCGAGTGATACCTTGAGTTAGTCACCAGAATGATTGAATTGAGGAACAAAGTGAATTAAAAAGCTCAGTTGATATCTTGGGTGGCTGTCATGTGTTATGTTAACTTTACTATAAAAAGCTTCTAATTGATGTAAAGAAATGTTAAGCTTTTACTATTTTTGTTTTTCAGGTAAAGGCAGCTCGAAGAAGAAGAAGGAGATGTTCTGAAGCAAAGAAACAATTGAAGATATACATAAAGTCTCTTGAGGGGGCTTTTGAAGAAGATCATCCAGATGATCTTGAAAAAGGCAGGAAATCTGTGATATACAAATATCCAAGGTTTGTAGTAATGCCCAATTGTCCTCGTGGGGATCCTTCAGTTCCAAAACCTGCCAACCTCATCCTTAAAGATGACTGTGAAGATGAGAATGCATTCTCTAAGTGGTGGACTACCAAGGTTGCTGAGGTGAAGAGCAAAAGTCATTTTGATCAAAAATTCTTTGAGTATCTGGTTATGCGGTGAGTTATAAGCTAGAGTGTTATGCACTTTACTAAGGGGTTAATTGCTGTGTTTTCTTTTAGCATCTTACAGTTTTTTACCCTTCTTCTTAGATCAAATTCAATCTTCTCAGTCCTTAACCATTCTGGTCCATTTTATCGCTCATCTTACTTGGATGATACATGTACATGTCTGCCTTAAAAAATTTCCTTCCAATTAAATGAAACTTTCGGCATTGCTCATATTCAGGCCTAGAATGTTTGGGGAGTTCCTTTAGAGAGACCATATTAACCTCCACTGCATGATGGGCAATAGACATGCCCATATTATGAGTGATATATGTTTCTTTGCTGTATGATTATAAGTTAATTTTCAAGTAAGCTTAGAAGCCTTGCATCCAATTAAAGTCTCAATTCTCATTTCTCTATCCCCAATAGAGTTTTGAGGATTGAGTTTCAAGTCGAGTATGTCATATTTCAAAAAAGTTAAAACTCAGTTTTTTTTGGCCCTAAAGTGCTCTTATTTGGTCTTAAAAGTGTCCCATAGACTGGTAATGAGTTTTTGGGTGATGACGTAGAAAACTGTCAATTTAAAGTCTTAAATTGGCATAAGTTATTTTGAGAAGGGTATCTTTTGTAAGGGCAAAAGAAATTGCTAATTTAAACTCTTATCTAAAATTGCAGCTTTGTTGGAATGTCACACAGCATTCCAGACACCCTCAGGGAGTCTATTGATGAAACTAAAAAGGAGTTAGAGATGTGCACAAAGGAGCAGCTGTCAGTAGTTTTGAGTTCATTGCCAGAGCAATGGATCATAGGCCCAGCTGGTAGTGGAAAGACATGGCTGCTGATGAAAAAAGTATTAATGCTTGCTAAGAATGCTCTCTCAGAGGGGAAAAAAGAAAAAATTCTTGTGGCCTGTCACAATGAGCCTTTAGCTAAGAGGTTTAGGAAAGTGTTTAAAGGCGAGTTGAGCTTTCCGGAATCTGGAGATTTAGAGGAAGTAGTTGAAGTAAAGACTTTTGATTCCCTTCTCTATGATATTACTGGTGACTTTTGTCAAAACATGGGAAAACATGTTGCTCAAGCATTGGAACTTTTAGAGAAAGGAACTATGTTAACCCAAAGGTACGATCATATATTTGTTGATGATTCCGAAGTTCTTGGGAACGACAAATGGCCAACTCTCTTTAAGAGGATGCATAAAAATAATGATGCTGATGAGGATGATGATTGCTGTGAACCAAAGCACATCTGGTTCTTCTTTGATCCTAATCAGGATATCGACAGTTCAGAAGAGCAGTCTCAGCTGCCCAGGGAATCAAGGAAGAAAACTTTCAGGCTCTCGAAAGTTCTCAGAAACACTCAGATGGTCTTTGAACAGACAAAGAAATACTTCAAGTCAAATGCAAAACTTATTGAGTTAGGACATGATGTATGTGGATTAGAAATAAAGTGGGATGACTCACTAAGAGAGGAATTTCCCATTGGGACTCATGGTATTGGACTCATCAAGAAGCATATCGAAGATCTTCGCGGACAAAAAGTTAATGACAAAGACATCTGCATTCTGACGCAAACTGAATCCATTCGAGATAAAGTCAGTTCAGAGCTCAAGAAAGTAGGAATTGAGAACCAAACTGCAAATCAAATGTTTCAAAATGATGACAACAAAGTTGTGGTTGAGAGTATCTGGCGCTTTAAAGGGTTGGAGTCAAAAGTGGTTGTTCTTTACTGCCTGCCTTTTATCGAACAAAGGTGGTTCCCGACCCTGTCGAGTTTAAGAGCTCTTCTGTACACAGCATTTTCTAGATGTTTATGTTATACGATTGTTATCTCAAATGCAGTTAGTTGTAAGACATTAAAATCAGAGAAGGGATACCATCAACTTCCAGATGATGTTTTAGAGCGTAGAGAGATATTGAATGATTTCCCTAAAACTTATAGGGAGCTCTCATCCTCTCATTCCCTTCAACCCCCCTTCTCATCCTCATCCCTAACAGTAATTGTTGGGAATTGGACTTTAGAACCTGTACATTTTGTTTCCCAGTTTGTAATTTTAGGATTCCTCTATGTAGATGAAGAGAGGGTGGTTGAAGCAACAGAGGAGTGCTTACCCACAAAATAATCTTGAAAGGTGTGTCTGGTTACCTGATAATTACCAAAGGGACTTGTGGTTCAATTTCAAAGTTTTTTTGTAGCTGTATTATGTTTCAAATGTTATCTTTTGCTAAGAGAGCTCTTATTAAGCAAAAGCTGTGGAATTATAAATTTTGCTTCTTGTAACCATTTAGTGATACGTTTTCTTAAACATTATACCTAAGCAGTCTAGTAACTATTTATCTTTGTTTAGAACATCAAACTTTGGTGTATTATGAAACAATTAACTTTGAGTAGCTTTAGTATACATGTGTGTTATGATTTCAATGTACTGACAGTAAGACTTTATCACCTTGATTATTCAAGTCTGCCCCTGAAATGAACCCCTGCATTCTACAACTCCAATCCTCTGTGTGACCTTGATGGTGTAATACCTCATGTCCTACAGGGTGTTACCCATAGATGATATGGACAAATGAGAATTGTTTCTCAATTTTATTTCAGTAGTGGTTAATGGTTTCTTTTTTCATGAAATGGACACACCTGTTGCAAAGACAAATACAAACTATACATCCAGGCTTCTGAGAGAGCACTCCCCTTCTGATTTTTAATTCAGAAAAAGTTCAGACTGCCTGACAATTTTTTTGTAATATGATTTAACAGGTAAATGTTGTCAAAGATGAAAATTTTATGAAAGGACCTAGTTTCTTTGTAATTGATGTAGTAAAGTTGAATTTTCTGAAGCATACTGAGAATAGATATTGTGTAAATCAGCTTTTTAGTGTTAAGATAATAGCTATGAATTTTTTTTGACAGGAACAATTTTCTCATCAACGTTATGAAAATTTTTACTTCTCAAAAGGCTAATGAACGATTATTTACCTGGACTGGACTTTCACAAATATTTCAAGATGAAAGAGATTCTTTTTTAGTGTAAGAATTGTCCTTTCAGGGTATTTTAAGATAAAATAGGATTAATCTTGTAAGTTTAGGGAAAATATTGTCAAGTTTGCTCTGACCAGTTCATTAAGTGTTACCAACAACCTTGCAAATTTGTGCTCATTTGAAATTTGAACTGCATAACCTGAACATATATAAAACTGATAATCTCCGTGAAGAAATTTATCAACTGGAAGTCGTGCTATTTTTCTTACAGTCTATTCACTTTGAATGAGAGTATGCATTGCCAGTATGTGCATGGCATCAGAAGTGACAACAAAGTGAGAGAAAATGGATAAAACTTCATTCTTAGTCTATTACTTGTACTGTCTGCTGGATGTTGTATTAAAAAATTGTGAAGTAAATCTGTGGACTGATCACTCTGTTGGGTTGAAGAGTTGAACTGGACATAGATATTGCTTGCAGGGGTTTCGATAAGTCAGTTCCAGATTCTTATCTTTTGGAACTACACCAACAATCTCTCTAACTTTAGGGACATAAAACTTGAGAATTCAGGAAGCAATGAGTTTTAATCCTTTAACTCCCAGGATAAATTAATATTTAACTTCCCCTTACCACAGCTAGGGGAGTAGTTAGATTGCAAAATTTGTAATGACTGAATATTCTTTTCAAATGTGGGTATAATGCAACCAATTCCTGATAAAAAAAAAAATTGAGAACGGGAGACTAAATCTAAACTGGCACTAGGGTAGGGTACTGTTTTAAAGTGTTTCTCGTGTTTGTACTTGTCAGAAAAGCTCCAAAATGTCAATTAGACTACGCTATTCAAAACTTTTATTGAATTGTTTACTCCCATAAGACCTATTTCATGGCTTTCAAAAGCAAACGTGTTGTGCTAATTTAGAAACGAAACCACCATCTACCCTCCCCCGGTTATCATTACCTCCTTTCCAGAATCATTGGGTCAGCGGTAATCTTCACTTTTCAAAGATGGCGGCTGTTAACACCAGCAACTTTCCAATTCACGGGCTTTTACCTAAGCGAGAAACGGGCGCTGATAGATTTTTGGCGAAGTATCCTGAGTATGATGGTCGTGGAATTGTAATCGCTGTGTTTGATACTGGAGTTGATCCAGGAGCTCCCGGTTTACAAGTAAGTTCTTGTTCTGGCAATTGTCCGGATTCAATACTCTTAAAATTTTTTCTGAGGTGAATGAAGATTTAGATATATGAAAATTCACATATTTGCACTGCGGTGGAAAGATGAAATTAGAAGATCCTCGCAGCTAAGAACACAACTGAAACTAGTAGTTGTAAGTAGGACCTGAAAAAAATTTCAGGCCCATACGGGATTTGAACCCATGACCTCTGCGATACCGGTGCAGCGCTCTACCAATTGAGCTAACAAGCCAACTGGGAGCTGGTCAATGAATTGGGTACAAATAAATTCATTGACCAGCTCCCAGTTGGCTTGTTAGCTCAATTGGTAGAGCACTGCACCGGTATCGCAGAGGTCATGGGTTCAAATCCCGTACGGGCCTGAAATTTTTTTCAGGTCCTACTTACAACTACTAGTTTCAGTAGTGTTCTTAGCTGCGAGGATCTTCTAATTTCATTTTTCTGAGGTGTTATAACTCAGTGGAAACTAGGAGGAAAATTAAATCCATCTGCACTTGCCTCGGTTTGCCTCACCAGAAGTAAAACGGAGTTTGTCAGGCCTTTGAAAAGTTTTAGTTGGAGGAAAGAGTCAGTTTTGTGGTACCATTGACGTAACTTACCATTTTCCCACATTTTAACTAACAAGTTGTTCAAGGACAAAGGACAAGGACGTCGATAAGTCCACTTGTTTAACAACTCTATACCACTTTGTGAATTGGGAGACATGTCAAGGAAATGTCTGATGTAATGACATAAAGATCAAAAGACAAATTGGTGAAACAACAAAATGAGAGGACTTAGTGAAACAATATAAGGTTTCTCTGTACTCCTATTTAAAAAGTTGAAGACGGTTTCTATGTTGAATTTAAGCTACTCTTACTATTTTCCTGCAACAGGCAACCCACAGTTGCAACCCTCTGTAGTTTGAGACTTGGAAATAAATTTTTTGTTAACTTGAAAATGGGAGAGGCAATTGTACAGACCGTCAATTACATACTTTGTTTAAGACTTCTGTGGTGACAATAGATAGCATTTGGCGGTATAGGGAGTAGTTTCTAGCATTATTGCTGAAAACTGTTTCCAATCTTTTTGTGATTTGCTGAAGGAAATTGTTATTATCATCATGTTCCATATGAGGTTATGGATTATGATTGAGAAATGATTGGAGTAGTCAATTATTTTCTGACTTCTCAGTGACCTGGACTGAATTGTTTTAAATTTACTGTGAGGTGTTTCAAAGGTAAGTTAAAACTTTATCCAAAGGACAAATCACAATTAAGTGGATAAGTATTAACCAAATGTTCTGTGCTTTACATCTTCCATGCACATTGTTCAAATGGTAGATAACACCATGCAATGGATTACTTGCTATCCAATTGATAAGTGTTCAGATAGTGTACTATGTTATCCATCAGATAAAGATTTGTCGATTGGAATTATGCATTATCTACTCTTGGAACAATGGTGGCCAGAGAGGCATGGAGAGCCCCAGCATTCAAAACTTTGACATCTGATCAGCAATTTTTTTTTCAAGGAAACTCCTGATGGACGACGAAAAATAATTGATTTAATTGATGCCAGTGGGAGTGGTGATGTTGATACCTCAACAGTCGCTGAGGCTATTGATGGCTGTGTGACAGGACTTACAGGAAGGAAACTAAGGGTTTGTTTTTGATGTCTTTTGTAATCCTTTCCTCTTATTCTGACCAGTCATTTTTTCTTTTAGCTGAAAGTTTTATTGTATAGTTTTCAAGACTTTTAAACTCTCAGAACAGAACAGCTTTATGGGCCTGATTAGTTACAGTGACCTTTTCCAGTCCATTGCAGGGTAATACCCGTATCTCTCTAGCATTTTGGCAGATTTCTAAGGTGGTAGGTTGGTGCCCATTTATACTCAATAGTGGAGAGGGGCATCATGAGTGGAGAGTGTATTTCCTAAGAACCAAATTAAGTGATGGGCCATGGCTTGAAAACAGACCTATTGATCTGGAATACAGTAGACAAACTACTAAGGTTACCATTTCTTCCATAAGCATGTGAATAGCTCCTTTAAACTGTTTTATGTGCTTGGGCAATATTAAAGGTCATGTGTCTCACAGTCTAAGTTCTGAAACACGACACTTCACTATTGTGAATGGCTTGATTGGATCTGATGTGAAAGACGAGATTTGAGAACAGTAAGAGTCCATTGGCTGATTGATTAAATTCAATCATCTGATGTCAACATTAGCAGGTGGATCCTCTTTTGTACAAGAGTTTAATCATGTGCTTTCTCTACAAAATGAAATTTGTGGAAGTGTCTGCTGCATGTCTTAAGTTTCGCTCTGAAAAAAAAGGAAACTTGCAGTCATACATCTGTAAATACACATTCTGAGGTGGATTGTTTTGAGGCAGGAGATTAAGAAGAAAATTCTGTAAACAGATCATGGCTTCACATTGCAATAAGTCATAAGTAACTGTAATAGGGGATGTTACTACACAGATAAATGTAGGAACTAGTGAGGGAATGATAAGGGAACAAGTAAAGGAAAAAAGTTTACATGTTTACAAGATGAGTTAAAAGTGATTGTAGCAAATCAAGAGACAAATGTTAACTAGGAGTAAATTTCAATTGTAAAAAAAAAACTCAGAATGGATCAGAAAAGATTAATTTAAAAAAATAATAAATTCAGTGTGTAGTCAAGGAGGAAATTCCAAAAAGAGACCAAAAGAAGGCTCTTTCAAGCACTTCCACTATACAGAAGGTTTCATGTCAGATTTCAAAAGGCTGATGCCCAGACGATCATGGATATGTCAGTCATAGTCACAAATTAAGGGGTCAGTGACTTGGAGGGTTGGGACTCTTGAAAGCACCAAATGATATATATGGGTTTAGGAACATGGGATAATTCCATTGGGTCAAATGGTTACCATGGAAATGGTTGTAAAGTAAAACTAAGATAAACATGGTTTTATTGCAATATAGTTAAAAATTCTATTTAAATTAACATTTCTTCTTCAAAACATTTCAAAACCTTTTTTGGGTCAATTGTTCATGTTTTGTTGCTAATTTTTTCAATTTATACTGAAAGAATAAATAGCAGATATTGTTGGCTTGGAAAAAAAACAAAGCTCATGTGACAAATATGTTAAAAAAAAAGAGCAGTTGAGAAATACTCATTTTTTGAGTTGAGGTTGGTAAAGATGTTGAAGTCCTATTAGTCAACTGTTTCCAATCTCCTACACTTAAGATACATGATAAGATAGTCAGTTTAATACATCAAATTATTAACTCATACCTGACTTCATTTGCTGTTGTACCAACCTTATGGCTGTGGGAGTGTAAAGTGAGCTTATGAAAGCCTCAGCAGATTGAACAAATTCTTGGTACTTGTTCTCTTAAGTCCTGTAAATGCAAGTATGCATGTTGTTATTCACATGAGCCTTCAAAGCCTTTCTTTTGTCAGTCAAAGCCTTTCTTTTGTCAGTCTGACTAAAGCCACTTGTAATGTCAAACTTTGTAATAAGCTCTCATCCAAGCTCTTGGATGAGATGATGAAGATAGCAGAGAATATCCTTTGTTTCAGTGTGGAACCATAGCCAGTCACATCTCAAATGAAGACATTTAGAGATACAAAGGAGAGCTTCATAAGTATCTGTTGACTGAACTGCAATGCAGCCATGATCATGAGAGCAGTCTTCGGTGTAGAGAAACATTGAGGCTGCCTCCTCCTTATGCCACTTTACTAGCAGATGGTGGATACACTGTTCTCCATTTCATGTCGCTTATACTGCATTTCTAACTATCTTAAAAGCATCCTGCTGGCGCCAACTTCTCACCAGGATTGAGTGCCCTCTTTACAATCTCTAAGTGCCACTTCAAAAATTTTCAGGTTGGTTTTGTTTCACTTGTGAAGGGATTGGTATGACTGGAGTTGATATTCTCTCTTCTCAAATAATGGATGACTTATTTGCCATATTTAATGGAGTTCTTCTTGTCATAGCAATCAAATACAACATCCACACAAGTGCATCTTTTTTCCCAGGTGGGAAAGTTATGACCTCCCAGTAGTTATTGGCAAGCTGTCCAAAAGTTGGTAGACCCACATTCCTCCTCATCTGCATAAATGTATTTGTACTTCAGCAGTAATATACATGAAGTCTTGCCAAAACAAAAACTCTTGGGAGCCTTTACCAGAGCTCATCGACTCTCCAATCAATAGTAGCTCTTATCAGAGCTCATTGTCTCCCAAAGTGAACAGCAAAGTTCTTTTGTTTGGGAGATCTTATCAGAGCTCATTGACTCCCTTACTGACCAACAAACTTCTTGCAATTGGGAGCTCCTATCAGAGCTCACTGATTCCCCAACTGACCAACAAATGTATTGGGATCAGAAGCTCTTATCAAAGCTCATTATTTCCCCAATTGACCTAAAAACTGCTTGCAACTGGGAACTCTTTTCAGAGCTTGTAGATTCCCCAGTTGACAAACAAACTTATTGCAATTGGGAGCTCTTATCAGAGCTCAAATTGACCTACCAAACGACCACTAAACTTCTTGCAATTGGGAGCTCTAAACAGAGCTCATTGACTCTCCAACTGACCAACAAACATATTGTGTTTGGGAGCTGTTATCAGAGATCATTGACTCCCCAATTGACTAACAAACATATTGGGATTGGGAGCTCTTAACAGAGCCTATTGACTCCCCAACTGACCAAAAAAACCTCTTGCAATTGGGAGCTCTTATCAGAGTTCATGACTCCCCAATTGACAAACAAATATATAGCAATTGGAAGCTCTCGCCAGAGCACATTGACTCCATTTATTTCTTGGTTTCCTTAGCAACAGTTGCCATGGTTAAGTTTAACCAACTAATGGAAATTATCCCATATTTTTAGGTACTTTCCAAAGTTTCATCACCCTTCCAAATTTTATTTTATTTGTTTGAGTAGTTCTGGATGTTTTGCTGATAAGTTCCAAAACACCTGCACATTGCTACTTCCGAAGGTGCTTCACAACCCCCAATAGCAAGTCACAGACCTGACAATTTGTGACTAAGACTGATGTGGCAATGATCTCTGGGTATCAGGCCATCATCATCTGATGTCCAACTTTTTCCGTAGTGGGGGTGCTATAAGGTCAACTTTTTCAGGCTTTTCCTCCTCGACTGGTGGGGATTATTAACTTAATTCAATTATAAAAAAAAAAACCTCTGTGTTAGCATATTGAGTGCATCAGGGTATGTATCACATCAATCAGATCACTGCATTAGGGTATTATCTTGCACTAATCAGATCACAGCATTGGGATATACTAGCACCAATCAGAGTATTGTTCATTATGCCAATCATGCATGAAATTAGGAACGCAATATGTTGCAATAGAATTAACCCAACATTGACACACACCAAGAGTGACATATACTCATCCACCTAGAGTAATGCTCATGTCCTTCATGATGACTTTGTAGACATGCAACTATAAACCAAGAAACAAGAGAGTTACAGAGTAAATTTTGACAGGCTAATTGAAGAACACAGTAGGAAGTATTTTATTGATTAAACTGAGGCAAGGCACAATCCATTGGCCTTAACAATGTAAAAAATCACATGACATGCCTTTTAGAAAGATCAACATCAATTGCAAGATAATTTTGAACTTGGGCTTTTCCACAGGAAACCCATGAAATAACTTGAACCAGAATATGCTGTTTGACTAAAAACTACATCCACTCACTTGAGCAGCAATTTTTTTTTTATAGTTGTTAAAGTGTAACTTGTTGTGTACTTTGTTTAATGGGTTTTTAAAACAGATTCCAGATGACTGGGAGAATCCCTCAGGCAAGTTTTTCATTGGTGTGAGGAGTGCTTACAGTTTGTTTCCAGCAAAGCTGAGAGAGAGACGAGTGGTAAGTAACTGAATACATTGTGCATTCTTGCTTCTAAATTTAGTGTTCTTTTGCAACTCTAATCTTTAAGTTGGTAATGTTTGGAACTCCAGTCGATTGAAAAGTGGCTTTCGTTGGTGGGTTCCATCACTAGTTGCCTCAGATTCAAAAAGTGGTTTTAATTTTGTAGTAGAGTTATGACAGGGAGAAGAATTGACACCAAGGAGAGTTAGAGGAGAGAGTAGAATAAACAAATTAGTGGGCCATTCAGTAACAACTCCAGTATTTTCTGTTAACACAGCTCTGGTGTCTCAGCACTTCCAGGGGGTAATTAATTGGTTAATAAGTTTTTCTGTGATCCCTAGATGACTGGAACTACTCAGTTAACTATTTACAACCTAACACCAGTATGCATATTCTCCATACTGTTCTCTATACTTTTTCTAGGCTTTTGTTAAGGAGAATTTGTATAACAATCTAGAGCTTCTTTTGTTGGTGATCATGGCCCTTATTCTCCTGACCTCAATGTTTGATTCAGGGGTGACATTGTAAGGAGAAATTAGATGCTAGTCACTCTTTGGGGTGAAAGGGTTAGGTGCATGTTTTAATCAGTGTAGGTTAGGTTATAGCTAGTGCTGTCAGAATCAAGCAGCTTTAATGGAATGGTACCCTGTCCTGTTCACTTTTAGAAAGAAAGACGTGAGAAGCTCTGGGACCCACCTCACCAGGTGTGCATCGCAGAGGCAGCAAGGAGGCTTGATCAATGGGATACAGAACATCCAAATCCTTCAGTGGTAACCCTTTTTTTTAACATTAGTAAATGATTAAGCATATTGTTTGGATATGGTATACTTGTTGACTACCTCAAGTCAAAGGAGTGATCCTTTTTTCCTCAGTCATGACTTATTTTATTTTTTTTGTGCACATAGCACAAGAAGTTAATCAGAGAAGACCTTCAAGCTCAAGTAGAGATCCTTGCCAGTCTTGAAAAGAATTACTCTGACACTGGTCCTGTTTTTGACTGTATGGTGTTTCATGATGGACACACTTGGAGGTAATGGGTTAAATTTTTAGTGAGCCCCTGGCCTCTTGCCCCCCACCCCTCCCCCTGCCCCCTCATCCTCCTTTACCCCTCCCCCCTTGCACCTTGCCTCTTGCTGCTTGCCCCCTTTTGTAAATGGCAATGATAGTCATTGTTTTTGTCTAAACTCTTAGTTTGCTTTCATCAAAATCATTTACAACATGCACTATTTTGGTTTCTAAAAATCATAAAATATTCAAATATTTTAAAATGGGAACTGAAGCAGGCATTGAAATAAAAGTAAATTTTGAACTGAAGTGTTGCTTCTCTCAAATGTAAACCAACATTACAATGTATCCTTGAGCAAAGTATTACAATATGTTAGAGACTAGTTTCTTCTCGCCCTGTTTTTGTTTTTTCATCTCCTTACAGTATCATTGCTGTAGGTTATGAGAAAAAAAAGGAAATGATCACCAACTAAAGAACTTAAACAAATTCTCCCTTTTAGCATCTTAGGAAATGTGTGGAGAACAATGTGAACAAAATGTATACTGATGTTAGGTTGTAAACAGTTAAGAGGGCATTTTATTTGGTGATACAAATTTTTTTGTCGTAAGACTGTAAATTTGAAGTGAATGTTTAGGATCTATATGGAAGGATTTTTAAATGATAGAACATAAACAATTTTCAAAGTTTTTCCTTTTACCATCTTTAGAGCTTGTGTTGACACATCTGAGAGTGGAGACTTAGCCAGCTGTACTCTTCTGGCCAATTACCGAGAATCTGGACAGTATGCCACATTTGGAAAAGAAGGTGTTAATTATTTCTTCAAATAACTCTTTGTCAATAATGTCTCTACTTTGCCCTCCAGAACTAAATTTTTCCAACCACATTTGATGAGGACTCAGTAGAGAGCAGGGGCTTACTCAACCCTTTGATCCCTGAGCATGACAAGCATCTAATTTCTCCCTACAATATCACCTCTAATTCACACATTGAGGTCATGAGAATAAAGGAGATGATCACCAACTTAAGAAGGTCTTGATTGTTAAACAAATTCTGCTTCTCAGCACCTCAGGAAATGTATAGAGAACAGTATGGAGAATGTGCATACTGATATTAGGTTTTAAAGGGTTAAAACTCCGTACTTAAAGGGTAGCTTTTTGCGGGCATATCTTATTATAATAATAATGCCTGAATTATTTTTCAGATTTGTTCAACTACAGTATCACTGTTTACGAAGAAGGCAAAATACTGTCAATAGTAGCAAATGGAGGTTTGTATATGTGCATCATTCAAGGTTTGAGACCAGGGTGATTTTGTTTTTAACCCTCTAGCTCCCATTAGTGACCAAGACAGAATTTCTCCTCATGGTATCAATACAATATCAAGCAGACAATTGATGAGAATAAAGAAAAACATCAACAAGGGAAATATTGATTGATCCAATACCAAATTCTCTAAATTAACATTGACAGAGTTGTATGGCAGACAGTAAGGAGAATTATTGAGATCTTGGGAGTGAAAGGGTTAAGTGGCATAACAGTCTTCTTTTTTTGTTTGTGCTTCTAGGTACTCATGGCACCCATGTGGCTAGCATAGCAGCAGGGTATTGTCCAGATGATCCAGCACTGACAGGCATTGCTCCTGGTGCTCAGGTGTACATTATATTCTAGTTTAACCCTGTAACTTTCAGAAGTGATTATCTTGTAACTTCTTGCCAACAGGCACTGAGAATAATTGAACTTATCAGGTAGAAGTTGTTACCTTCATTTAACATCAAATTCTTGTAACTAATTTACAAGGAAATGTGTAGCAGCTAGAGGGGAGAATTAACAATCAGATCTTGGGAGTTTAGAGAGTTAATGGAGCAAGGTTTCAGTATTTTAAGGTACTCTTCTGTGTCATCAAAAATTGTGTTTGCTAGGGAAGATAGAAAAAGTCTCTCAAGGTTTTAATGCACAAGGAAGCAATTAGGGTGAGGCATATCCTTTACACCCTAACATCAGTATCAATATTCTCCATACTGTTCTCTGTACATTTTCTTAGCTACTGACAAGGAGTTTATGTTTAACAATCAAAGCCTCCTAGGCTGGTGATCATTGACTTCATTCTCATGGTCTTAATAAATGATTCAGCAGTAACACTGAAGGGAGAAATTGAATGCTGGTCATTCTTAGGGTTTGAAGGATTAAGTGAAGAAGCAGTTATGTGAAAAGTTCCTTTGTATAAGAAGATTCTGCATTTTTTTCCTCAGATTCTCTCAGTTAAAATTGGTGATTCAAGATTAAAAACCATGGAAACTGGAGCCTCCATGATAAGAGGAGTAAGCACCATTCATAGAGAAAGATGTTTTTCGTCTTGTCAAAAGTGTGGGACAAAGATAATATTCTAAGTCCCCCTGAGGAATGGAAGAGCATCAGAGCGTTTGTTTCCTCATGGGAACTCAGAATATTTCTTTGTCCCATGCTTGTGACAAAACGAAAAACATCTTTCTCTATTTCTTTACCAAGCTCAAAACTTACTATCTTTCTTATTCTATTTGCAAGATTGTTAATTTTGCCAATTTTTCCTGACATGTCTCTGGTGATCAGCCTTTAATGATCTGATTTTTTTATTTTATAGTTAAGTAGATTTTTTATTTAAAGAATTTTGTTTTAGTTGATTGCAGTTCATCAGTACAAATGTGATCTTATAAATATGAGCTACGGAGAAGCAAGTCATTGGCCAAATTCAGGGTAACAAATGAATCCTTTAGTTTCTTTTTGTGCTGTCACATTCATAATGATGATGATAAGAACAATAAAGATGATGATGATGATGACAATGTCAGTAACAATGGTAGTTGTAATAATGACAACAAGAAGTGTTATGCAGAAAACCTCCTGTCACATCAGTTGGAGGGTTTGGTGAATTAGTGATAAATTACCTTGAACCCCAGAACAAGATGTTCAGAGTTGTTTCCAACCTGAGTTATTCTGTTCTGTTCTCAGGGAAGAAAAATTTACTCTTGTGGTTCCATTTCAGACCAGGAGTATTAAGAGGCCATAAGGCTTGAAAAAATCAGCCTACAATCTCAATGAGAGGGTTTTAGAGAGGTCAGGTGGGGAAAATAGTTGCCCATGCATCACCACGTGCTCCATAGTGCGTATAATTTGCATTTACTACGCGCACATGGGAGGAGCTGCAATACAGCCACGCAGTATTATAGATATCATAGCAAATCCACTTTAAAATGTGCAGGTTATGTTTATTTAGCTTATGTTCTTTGTTGTTTTGTAGACGAATAATAGAACTCATGAATGAACTTGTGGACAAACACAAAGTGATATTTGTGTCCAGCGCTGGTAACAATGGCCCAGCTCTATCCACAGTTGGATGTCCAGGGGGCACTGCAGAGTCTCTTATAGGTAAAATTTTTAGTACTTAATTAATTTTGAAGTTACAGTGGCTTAATAATTGTTTAAGGTTATGGCAATTAAAGGATACCAATTTAAAACAGAAAAAACAAACTAAAAATCTTTGCCAAGGTTTTTTCTTTTTTTTTTTTTCTTTTTTTTTTCCAAATTAAGCCATTGCGATTGTAAGAGCACTTATTCTTGGTTTTACTCATTGTTCAGGTGTTGGAGCTTATGTATCACCAGACATGATGGCTGCTGAGTATTCTATGTTGGAAAAACTTCCCGGAAATCAATATACATGGTCCTCAAGGGGTCCAACGTAAGGAATTAGCTTTTAATAATTTGTGTCCAGCTCGCTTAAAGATGAGAAGGCTCTGAGATACCTTAAACATTTAACTCACAAGATCTAAATATGAATTCTTCTCACTGATTGCTGTTCATTTGCTATAGTTTTAATTTTGAGAATTTAATTCTCAATCAAACTTAATACTCTAGTTGATGTTTTTTTTTCGCTTGTTATCAATTTTCTACTTTAAAATGTATTAATGTTGGAAGGATAAATTCTTTTCTGTCACTCCTGGGTGTTAGAAAGTACTTCTGTAGGTATTTTCTCAGCAGAAACTTGCCATTGGTACTCTTTATCTTCCGTTACTCGTGCATTAGTCGTAGTGCGTTTTCGACACGGCCAGGAATTTACATGGTGATCAAACCTTGTTTTGGTTTCACTTGAAAATTACATGTTGGTTGCAAAAATATCATGATTTCAACAGGAAATGCAAACGATATGTGGTACGGAAACGGGTTGAAAGATTTTGGGACGAGCTGGTAAAGGCGGGGCGAACTTGTTTTACGTTAGGGGGGCGAAATTGCAAAGGTTGCAGAGGTTTAAATTGTAATGGGGCGAATTCACCACAAAACGAGAAGCTCACAGGGGAAAGGTATGTGGGAAATTCTGGATTTAAAACATCTGAAATTGTGATTTTAAGCGCAGAGTTCTGATCCCCATTTTTTGTATCACAGCACAGATGGCTCATTAGGTGTGAATATCAGCGCACCGGGCGGAGCAATAGCTGCTGTCCCCAACTGGACGCTGAGAGGAACACAACTGATGAATGGAACATCAATGTCTTCACCTAATGCTTGTGGAGGAGTTGGTATGAACTGAAGACTGCAGCAAAAAATTGTAAGTGTTAGTCAAGTTTTTTTGTTGTTAAACTCATTCCAGTTTCTTTTCCCGAATTTATCTCACAGCTCTCCTGCTATCGGGTCTCAAAGCAAATGATATTGCCTATTCTCCGCACAGGTGAGCTTTTGATTTTCAATCATTTGGTTTAGGCTTTTTTTGTCTTTGGTAGCTATTTTCAGAAGGCCCCAGCTTGATGAGACTAGTATACGTGCACCACTGGGCTTGTAGCTTGTTTTGGTTTTTTATTTTTTTATTTATTTTTTTATTTTTTTATTTTTTTTTTTTAACGAGGATAGTAATTTATACATTAAAAATATGTTTACGTTCTCAGCATTCGTAGAGCATTGGAAAATACTGCCCTTCATGTGGAAGGTAGAGCACTGTGTGTATTTCTTTAATTTGTATCATGAGAATAATTTCCCGTTTAACCCTTTACACCCTAAGATCAATATGCATATTCTCCATACTGTTCTCTGAACATTTTTTAAGGCGCTAACAAGGAGAATTTGTCAAACAATCAAGAGCTTCCTTAGTTGGTGATCATTTCTTTTATTCTCATCACCTTCATGTGTGATTCATGGGTGGTATTGTAAGGAGAAGTTAGATGATGGTCAGTCTAAGGGGTCAAAGGGTCAACAAATTACTTTTATGTTGCCGTTTGTCTGTTGATATGTAGATTGGAAATAATGTCAAAATGGGGAAAGAACCATTAAGAGGCTTAACCTTCTACAGCCTCACATCAGCATGCATATTCTCCATACTGTTCTCCATACATTTTCTAAGGAGCTGACAAGGAGAATTTGTTTAACAATCAAGAGATTTTGTAGCCAGTGATCATTTCCTTTATTCTCATGACCTTCACGTGTGATTCAGAGGTGATATTGTTTGGAGAAATTAGATGCTAGTCACTCTTAAGGGTCAGAGGGTAAATAGCCTCAGGCGAGTGTTTCATTGCTTGTTTTTGGTAGATTTGTTCGTCTATCGTGGTATGTAACTGAAAAGACACACGGAAATTGGAATATATTTATTTTTATAATGAGGAGAAAAAAATAATCTCCTGTTATGACGTCATTGGTAATCTGACTTGCAACAGATCGTAGTTAGGCGCCAATCTGAAAGCGTCTCCATTTTTACAGCAAAAGCAAGTTGATAACTACCCACTCTCATAATTTGTTTTTTGTTTTTTGCAGGACTTGATAGACTCACCTTAGGACATGGCCTCTTACAGGTTAGTCAGAGAAATTTATAAATAAAAAAGCGGCCTCGCTCGCGCGATCTCATAGGAAACCATATTGAAAACTGACGTGTGTAAGGCCGAACGGGTTGACATGAGCCGGTCCAGAAAAAGCCGTCCGGCCTCAGTGCACATGTACTGCTTTGTTGCAAAAAAAAGAAAGAAACAATGTCGCTTTTGTTGCAAAAAATGAGTGACAGCAGTGACCAAAACTAAATGAGAAAAGAAGTGTGGGGTATTGGGGGAGTGTTGTCGTCTAAACGTACGATGACACAAAGACAGTGTCAGCCAGAGTGAAATACGTACTCAAAGCAAATCAAAATTAAGGTAGAGACACCTACGTATGATACGCTGAAATTTTTCAGCCTGAGTTATGGTTAATGTGGGTGGGTAGATCTGGCTTGAACTCCGTACCTTGTTCTCCACAGCTAAAAAGGTATTCAAGATTCTTTTGTATTGTTTCATTTTAGGTCGACAAAGCGTTTGACTTTTGTCGAGAATTTTCAAGAGTTCCAGAAAGAGATGTTAGATTTCAGGTAGGTAACACACGAGGTTTACTTGAAATTCTTTTTCACACTTGAAAAAAATGCGTATACGTGTAGCTGTTGTTTGAACATTTGCGCAATTGAATGAGTTTTATCGCAGTATTCAATAATACAGTGCGGGATACGTGGGCCTAAAAGTTCAGAGTTCAAACCCAGCCAGGATCTCTGTGTTGTGTTCTTGAACAAAACACTTTCCTCTCCCCATGCCTCTCTCCACCCAGGAGGATAAATGGGTACCGGCTAACAGTCAGAGAATCCTTGACAAAATGCTGAGGGTAACCTACGATTTTCGAGCATCTCACAAATGAAGAGTAGCTAGACTGCTACCATCAGACAGCTTCTCACACAAAAACGAATTATTATTCACAAATCGGCTACGTATAACTAACATTCCCCCGCTCCTTCTCCCGACTCAAAGTTTTGTCAATTTAACTTTTGGCCATGGTGTAATTTTGTAGCAGCATTGATAGGAGGGGAGGGGGAGCGTAGTTTTTGCATGATAAGGGACATTTCACCAACAATTCAATTATCTAAAATATCTAAACTAATGTTGCTTCTGATTCTGGTTACTTTGCGAGACTGAACGGGGGATGAGTTCATCAGGGGCTACCACTTGGATCGTGTGCCGTCTTTAAAAGTTTCTTCGATATTTTTTGCTTGCTCAGATTTCTTGTTCTTCTGGCAAGAGAGGAATTTATCTTCGTGAATCCAGTCAGCTGTGTAAACCCTTCTTTGACCAAGTGTCTGTGTCAACACATTATGATGAAGATGTTGGTAAGTTTAGTTTCAAATGCAAAGTTGCATTCCTCAAGAAAGTAACTTGTGGAGAAATAGCAATTTTCAATCGAGTATTGAAGGTAACTCGGGATTGCTTTATTTTTGCTGTACTTTGCTCTGTGATTGTTCCAGAAAACTTGCGCCACTCTCTCGACTGTACTTTGCTCTGTGATTGGTCTAGAAAACTCGCGCCACTCTCTCGACCAATCAGATGCAAAAGTAAACCAAATCACTCGCGTTTTCCCGCACTTTAGACAATTTAGTCGGTTTTCCTTGGAGTTCTCATTGGCTGTTAAAGGTATTTTCCTTTCTTCTGATTGGCCGATTTGGTCACCTAGGTTTTGATTTACAAAACTCCAACGAAAAGCGCTCTGATTGTGTGTGGTTCTATGTGGAAGGAGCCGAGGGTAAAACAAAATAAAATCAGTTTTGTGAGGGCATGTAAAATAATCGCCTGAAATATAAGCCGCGGCTTGGATCAAAGACTACAAACAGACGTCGAATAATTTACCAGCGGTCTATCGACGGTCTCCCGACAACGTATCGACCTCTTACCGATAATTTATCGACGGTTTATCGAAGATTACTGGCTATCTAATGATCTTCTCATTTTGTTTTATGCTTTGTTTTATTTTTATTCTTTTCGTTTATTATAGCTAACGATGACAGATTAAACCTCAACCTCCGACTTAGTTTGGTCAGTTCAGTATCGTGGGTGACTGTACCGGATCATTTTGTCCTCATGAATACAACGAATACAGGTTTGTAAGAATAAGAGTACAATGAAAAGATAAAGTAGTCGTTAAATTTGACGGAACAGAAGCAATAATTGGCCTGGGTTCGATAAGTCTGTGCGCCAGCTAGGGGACTGGAACCGAGTACGACAAGGTGATACTCATTTAGAAACCTCTCGAGAAAATAAGACAAACACGGTTTCTATTCCTGGCCTTGAGTGAAACAGTCCAAACCATTGCTCATCGAAAGAAGAGTTTGATCTAACTGACTTCTGATCTGTTTATATTTGTTTTAGTGCGCAATTTCTATGTCAAGGTTGATCCTCTGGGTTTGCCGCACGGGGCGCATTATGCTGAGGTAATTAAACCGACAAGTTTGCAAAAGTGATTGTGGTGCACTAAAATAATTGCAAAGGGAGCTTGCTGATACGAGAATTTCGTGACTTTGTTTCAGGTGTCCGCTTACGACATTAGCTGTCCACAGCGAGGACCGTTGTTCAGAGTTCCAATAACAGTCATTAAACCCAACAGGTATGTGCCTAGGGACCAGTAGAGCGCTTCCCGATTGAGTGCGTAAAACCAAAAACCAAAAACCAAAAGAATCACTACAAACAATCAATAGAAAGGAAAGCACCGATATCTGGACTTTGCTGCCGCCCCTTCCCCCCCCCCCCACCCCACGTGTGGAATAAGTGATAAAATGCAGGTTGTTTACTAGGAAATGACATGTGATGGGTAAAGTCCAAGGTTAGGTAAGGCGAATTTCATTGGTAGACAACGTCAAAGCACGTGAGAGTTGCGTCGAAAATTTACCTACAATAGCGTTTAGTTTCATGTGAAATTTTTCAGCGGATTAGGATTGTATCGTTAAATTTAGGCTGGTTACTGGAAAATGTCATTTTATCGGGGAGTGGAGTGGAAATGGAGAACTTCTTAAAGCAAACAAACGGATATTAACATGGTATTCGACATAGAAAGTAAATATAACCTGGTGATCTTTTCGACCTTCGCCAAAAGAGAAACCACAAGGCGAAGACAAGAGCATCAATCAAATATGCCTCATGCAGATGCTTTGCGCAAATTTTACCAGAGTCAGCAAATCTAGCCCTTCCAAAACAAACGCTCCAGTGATAACTTCGTGTTAGGCCTTTTGCTGACGGCGTGTGCGTTGTAAGTGACGGAGCGGTACACAAAACACACTTTAACTTTTGAATGGTGGTAAAATTCCCTGCCGACTTTTGTAACCCCAATTGATCATTTGCGACGCCCTAATTCCATGAAATGATTGACATGAGGGACACTACCCTCACACACTGATTGGTGCAAACATGCCCCATTGCTATAATTTGATTTGTGCGAGATACCTAACCTAATGCTGCGATCTGATTGGTGCAGGATACATTCCCGAATGCGGCGATCTGATTGGTGTGAACAACTTACCACTCGATACGCTAACATAGAGTTATTCAGTTTTTTTTATATGAAAAAAAAAGAACTCAAAAGGCAGCTCATCCTTTGAACTCGACGTTTTAATTTCCAGTGTTAGCGATGTGAACCATTATGTGTACGAGTTGGAAGACGTGAAGTTTAAACCCGGACAGGTGCATAGGAGTTTTGTTCATGTCCCGGAGGGAGCAACGTGGGCGGGTAAGTTAAAAAAATAAAACAAGAAATGAATTATAGTTTTCTTTGCCAGCTGCTGAAGGGAGGAAATTGTGTTACATGTTTCATCAAGATAAAACCCTTTACAGTAGTTGATAAGTTAGTCTTTTACATCTCCTTTTCACTGGATAATGTGTTGACACTGTAAAGAGGTATTTCATTTCATCACATCTGGTGGGTTAAGTTTTAAATAATTTACATGACGAAATTTACGCCCTACTGATTGGCTGAAAACGAGTGCGTTTTTCATGTAACACGCGTGCAAATTACACATACGGCGCGCGTGCACTGTCAAAATTTCGGCTGTCTTGAACTTCTTCAAGTTAAGAATACAAATTGCACTCGCCCTTCGGTCTCGTGCAATTTTGTTGACCTGCGCCTAGTAACAGATTGCACTCGAAATGATGTTGTTAACTGTACAAATTAAATTTTTTTATCAACAGAATTTTCAGCCTTGTCACTTGAAGAAGAAGTCTACGGACTCTTTATTCTCCATGCCGTTCAGTTGTCGCCTCTTTCGTCTTTTAAGGAACACGAGTTCCTCCAATATATTCCCCTTTCATCGCTGAGCGAGAAAACCTATAGTTTCGCAGTAAAGGTACAAGCTGTTGAATTATTTAAGCAGTAGAAAGAGTGTGTTTCAACTAAAGGTCTTAAAATAAAAGGGTAAATCAGTATTATCAGCTGAGTTGATAATGTAAATTGGCCACCGTAATAAGTTTCAAAGCTGATTTTTCGAGCGTTAGCCCTTCGTCAGAGCAAAATATTCCCCAATCGCTCTTTCGTAGGACTGACGATGGCAACGTCAACTTTGAAACTCTTTACGGTGGCCAATTTACGTTATAGACTCCGTTAATAATACTAAATTACCCGGTTACACTCTCCCACCGAGTACCACAGTTTCTTTAGAAACTTACCCCCTTTATTCATTTGTCTTAAAATCAATAGCGAGCTATTCTTACTGGCCAACCAGATGAAAGCACAAGGTCTGAAGAAGCTAGTGGCATGTGATAGTTTGATTTGTATATGTTAATCGCAGGCAATTTTATATTGGGAAAAAAAAAACCTTCGGCCACCAAAGGCAAATTTAGAACTTCAGGTTCGTAAAACATTTTACAATCAGGAATGGCGGGAAAATGCAACTATTTGCAATCACGCTAAAGATGTGTAGCTTGCGGGTAAACGCGCGCGAAAACACGAGCAAGACCAAGTAAGGAGTTAGTGGGGCTGTAATTTTTTGTTTGGTAACCCTGTGTCTCTGGTTTTCTTTTCCTTTTTCAGGGAGGTGAGACGTTGGAGTTGTGCACAGCAAAATGGTGGGCTAGCTTAGGAGAGTGTGCCGTCAAAAGAAGTGTCACGTTTCATGGAGTTAATCCCAGTGAAAAGAGCATAACACTGGTAGCTATACAATTTGAGTTTTTCACGCCTTAGGTAGTTCGAAATTTGTTTTATCGCTCTGTGAGTTGTACAAACTTCGAATTTATTTTTGGTTTAGTTTCTGTTTCGTCAACTAACTTAATGGAGACGGGATTAAAACAAATCAGAACACAGCGCGTAGTCACCCGGCTATTGTTGTGAGACTTGGGAAACAGAACCGAGAGTGATCCGAGAATGTCCAAGAGCAAACAGCACGTTAATATATGCCGTCCTAGTCAAGTGTTAATGTGAAATTTATGTGTTGGACTTATTGATGAAACCTTTTTTAGGAAGATAAACAACAGTCGGGGGAATTCTTAAATCAAACGAAGCCGAAACACCGAGACATTTTTTAAGGAATCTCAATTGCAGCCTGCTCCATTTGTGCCTCAAATTTCCTGCGATAGGGCAATAGAAAATGGTTCTGTTCTTTGCCCTTTCCTCAGTCCCTCGCGTGCGCATTGTTTGTCAGCGGAGAGACGACTGGGCACGAAGCAGTAAATTGCGTCAGATAACACAGCGGTCAGACACTGCGCATGCACAATAGTTTAAAAA